ATCACAATCTTCTTTAACTTTAATTTGCTTAGATTTTGAAAGAATTTGCAATTAGCTTTTTTGAATTTTTTAGCTCATTATTTTTAATTATGTATATTCTACAAATAAAAACAAGCTGTTAAAAATATTAATGTTTTTATTTGAACAATTAATGATTATAAATGAGTCCTATTTACTATTTTTATAGATTTCTAAATTATCTATAAAATACTAAATAGCTTAATATGAATATCAGGATTATAGATATTTAGAATAACATTATTATATTGATATTATAAAACAATTCTTAAATTACATTTCTCAGTTAATTTAATATTGCTTATAGAAATATGATATAAATAACTCATTAATTCATTTCCAATAAAAATTAGAAATCAATTTCTTTATTTTATTGTTAAATTTATTATAAAAAATATGCAATATAAGGAAACAATACAGTTGAATAGAAATGGTAATTAACAGCAATTCAAATCTATATCCATGATTGCATATATGTCATATTTTAAAATAAGATTATAATATTATTGATTGAATTTTTAATATATATAACAAGTTGATAACTTATGAAATTAAAAAAAATACATTACTGTAGTAATTTGTTATAAAAATTAAGTCATTCATTTTAAAGTATAATTTTCTTATATAATATAATCTCCTTAGTGCTTTAATTACCTATTGAAATTTAAAAGATATTAATTTCTGTGTCTTCTAATAACTTATCATAATTCCAGAATATAATCTATATGTATGTTAAATTTAATGCATCAATCATTAGATTTTTTGTTAACATAAATTTAGTTAAAATTAGAATGTAAAATAATTATAATTCCTATTTATATTTACTAAAATTATTTACTTTCATAAATGTAACCATTACAATTATTATGAAAATGTTGTATTACTTTAAAAATAACATAATTAATTAACAAAAAATGTATAAAAATATATTGTTTCATGATAGATAGTACGATTTTGCTCTAATTTTGGTTATGATTCTTGGATCCTATAATCAACTAAATATGATACCAATTATCGAGAGTATGTTGAACTCAACTATTAAGATGTTTAAAGTTCTTAGATCAATAATTATTCCTTCTATTCTAGTTTACGAATAGATTATTCTGTTTATATTCTTTTTTAACATTCAACCTCTAATAATTAAGAGTACTCTTATTTTCTAAGTTCTTCACTTGACTTTTATCTGATCCTCATTTTTATTTAGGATTTTGCTCTTTCTTATTTGAGTTTATTGTATCTAACAATATTTTTAATTAGTTAAGATTCTCTTTATTATTGTATTTACCTTTCTAATTCAAGCTATTTAATTTTCAATTTTTCAGTTTCTTATTATTTTATTTATTTTAATTGTTCTTATGTTTTTTTACGTCCCTCTTCACTTTAATGTTTTTTTGTCTTGGCCATAAGTTGAATCTCATGTATTTTCTATAGTTTTTGCTTATTTATAATATTTCTCTATCATAATAATGTGTATATAACACTCTAATTAAATGAATCATGTTCAGACTGTATTAATTATTTCATTTCAACAGACTTCTATTGTTATTTAATTCTTCTAATGACTTTGAGTTGATTCTGTTAAATGAGATTGATTCTATTCATCAAGAGACTCAATTACTATTCAGATTATTTTCGACTAAATCATAATGATAAATTCATACCCTTCACGTGCTTATAACAGAATATCACGATTATTCATATTATTATTTTATTATTAATGGGTCAAACTTGTAATGGATGTTAGTGTTAACATCGTTCCAATGAATGCATTCAAGAGATTAATGTTAAAAAGAAACCTAAGAAAAAAGTAGAAAAATAAGAGAAACCTGATAAATAGGAACATAGACCCAATAATGAAGAAAAATAAATTGAAAAATGTTAACAAAAAAACAAGAAAATTACATAAGGAGAAGCAGCAATTAAAATACAAAGGAATTGGAAAAAACATAGAAAATCAAAAGAAATTAGAGTTGAAAAAGCTGGAGCACATTTAAAGTAGTAATACTTTCAAGAAGAGACTGCTAATGCATAACCTCCTCCTGATCCTAATAGAGTGAAGAGTCCACCTTATAAGTATGAGATCATATTATATTTAGATTCCATTCTGGAGCAATATATGAAGGAGAATGGAAAGATAAAAAAAGAGATGGATTTGGTATTCAAAAATGGACAGATGGAGCAAGATATGAGGGATAATGGGTTGAAAATAAAGCATGTGGATAGGGAAAGTTTTTTCATGCAGATGGAGATCTTTTTGAAGGAGAATGGAAAGATGATAAAGCTAATGGTTGGGGAATCTATAGTCATTTTAATGGAGCTAGGTATGAAGGAGAATGGAAGGATGATTTGTAACATGGAAAGGGAACAGAGACTTGTATAATTATTGTATTTTATATAAGGGTAAGATAAATCAAAATATTGTGGTGATTACGTTAATGGAAAGAAGCATGGTAAAGGGAGATATGATTGGGCAGATGGATCTTATTATGATGGAGAATGGAGAGATAATAAAATAAATGGTTTTGGCACATATAAATGGGCTGATGGAAGAGGTTATACTGGACAATGGTTAGATAATAATATGAATGGAGTAGGAGTATATTAATGGAAGGATGGTAGAAAATATGATGGTTAATATTTGAATGATAAAAAACATGGTTAAGGTACATATTATTGGGCAGATGGTAGAAAATATGAAGGAGGATGGAAAAATGGTAAATAACATGGTACTTCTAAATACTATTTAAATGATGGAACAATAAAAATAGGAATTTGGGAGGATGGTAAAAGACTTAAATGGTTAGAGGATGCATGATTTAATTTATTATTTTCTTGCTTATTACTATATATATATTTATTATACACTTGCTTTATAAAATCAATAATATATAGACAAGGTTCTATGATGTGGAACTATGTCAAATCTTAATTCTTCACCCATTTACCATAACATCCAATCCACTTCTATACTATTTAATTTTTATCCTAATTTCTTAAATTCCTCCTTTATTAATTCTACTGCTATTACACTATTAGCTCTAATTTCTATTTCATATTCTGATCCATGATTTATTTCAATTTCATTTTTAATCATATTTTATAGTTCTTCATCATATTGTAAAACATTTAATTAATTTAAGATTTATGGTACTCTATAATCTGGAAACATTGTTAAAATTTCAATATCATTAAATTTACCTAATCCTTACCCTTTTAATGCAGCATAAATATCTCCTATTAAGATTTATGATCTTTTATAAAAAAAGGTTTATCTACCTTAATATATTGCATGATCCTAAAATCCAAGAAATTAGGTTGTTAATATATTAAGTAATTTAGCTGCAGAATTTTTAGCAGCTTTAATTACATTAACAAATTCCCCTTCAAAAAATGTCATCAATACTTCTGAAGCATGTTATAATAATCTAAATCTCTCTGTGATTAATGGGAAATTAGGAAAATTAGGGAATAATAATTATTGAAATTCTTCAAATGTCATTTTCAATATAGATTCTGCTTTAAATTATTAAGGACATTTTTAAAAACATTCTTTTATTGCAGATGATAAATTTTCGTATTCATAATCTTTTTATGGCCAAAAACAAAAGTTTAATGAATCCAATATAAATAAAAAATCAACTATTTATTCCTCATCACCTCCTAGATGACATTCATATTCATCAAATTCTTTGTATTTATGTTTATTATTAATGTACCATTCATTGACTTATTTTTGTAATTCCTCCTTATTAATTTTAACATGTTTTGAATTATCACTCACAAACTAACAAGAATTTCTTACTAAACTCATTTATTAAATATTATATTAATATATATGAAAAAGAAAAGTACTTAAATATGGAAAAGTTCATTTACAAAATAAAAAGAATATAGATAAATGTAGAGAATTATCTATCGTTTAATTGTCTATATTATATATGGAGAATGTATGATTCTTCTGTTTTAATGTATTTGCCTATCCATAATCTTATTTTATGAAGTATTGCAATATATTTATTTATTAGTTTATTGGTATAATGATATTTTAATGTCTTATTGTTATAATTTTATTGAGATTGTCCAATAATTTTAAAAGTAATTAAAGTTAAATAATAGGATTGTTGATCTTCTAATAAGAATGCAAAACTTGTAAATAATTAATCTTTTGTTAAATTTGCCATCATTGCGAAACAATAGTACTTCATGTCGAACTCTTAGAAATGTGTTTAGATAAAGATTAAATTAAGTAACAGCCTTTTACATTTAAGACTCCTTAAAAATATAGTGGGCGTATTCTTAACTAAAATTATTGCTTAAATGATTATCTAAGGTTATACAGCAATGATAATTGAGAAGTCTATGCAATTATACACAGCTTTTTTAACAACTATAATAACTATTTTATTTGTTAACATAATTCTTTTATTATTACTAATATTGCTATCATGGAAAATATCTTGTAACATTAAAATTAAATAATAAATAAAAACACCTTAAGATGAATTTAAAATTATTCAATATTAAGAAGAAAAAGGTCTTGAAATTATAAATAAAAAAGAAGAATAATTAAAGAATCCAACACCAGATTAATAGGAAATTGAAGATAAAGGATCTCTTAATGTTTCTATTAATGAAGATATAAGTCCAGCCATGTTAAAATTAGTATTAATAAAAATTAACTAAGAAATCTAGTTTAAGTCCTAGTCCTGGTAGATACAGATCTGGTAAAATACTTGATTTTCTAGAAAAGAAATTAAGTCATGCCAAAACAAGTTAAAAAGAATTACATAATGTATACAGTAAAGAATTCAGTAAAAAATATAATACCAATTAAGGTAAATTTATATATCTCTATTAAAGCATTATAAATTAGTGTAGATTTTGGAGAACAAGAAGATATCTCATCTTCAATAAAAAACAAAATTGAAATAGAAATCAACAATCATAACTTCTTCAAATAAACTAAATTCCTATCTTGATACTCATTTCTTCTTTATACTAAATTACAACACTATATAAAATCCTAAAATAACAATTGCAAAGATGTCCAACATCACAAACCTATTTTTGTATCTTCCTTCTTCTATAATATCTCTTTATTAGCTTCTGCTTCTTTTTATCTTTACTTTTATTCTTTTTCTTCTATTATCTAATTTTTACTTCTTTAACCCTTTATTATTATCTTTCTTATTATTTAATTAATTTAATATTTACTCTATCTTCTGCTATTAATCTCTTTCTAACTTATTACTCCTATTATTCTAATTCAACTTTCTTTTTTCTATCTTCAATTATCTATTAATAATTTAATCCAGCTCTATTTAATTTATTTACATCTAAATTCACATTATCCTTATTTGAAAGTAATACCTTCAGAAATAATTACTTATCATTAATAGCAGCAATATGTAATGATGTATTTTCTTCTTTATTTTACTAATTCCATATATCAATCTACAATGGCTTATTTATAGGTTTTTAATTATTGCATTAAGCAATTCTGCAATACCATTAAATGCTAATAAATAAAATATTCTCTAATCTTCATCTTAATTTATTAATCAAATTTCATTTTAAATTAAAAATTATGCGTTTCATCTTATTTTCTGCATTTATTGCCAAATGTAATAAGTTTTCTTTGGTAGATACGTTATATTTTAAATTGATATCACTAATTACTCATTAATAATTATATTATTTAGACTGTTCCAATTACAAATGCATGTTCTAAATAAGATCTACCTTCAATCTCCACTTCTAAATCCTATACTAATGCTTATGCTCCTTTTATAAAATTCGATTAAATTGATGTAAACAAAGAAGTGCTTCTATCAATCTTATTCAAAAAATTAACATCGACCTTCTTAGCTAATAATGCTTTGACTAATTATAAATTATTATTTGTTAATGCAATTTATAATAAAGACTTCCCACTCTTTTTATCTATCTCATCAAGATTATCACCCTTGTCTATAAGATCTAGACAACTCTCTGTATTATCTCTTAGGAATACCCTAATCATAAATAATAATTTCTTATGAAATATATATATGAAATAAAAATGAAAATAAATTAATCATGTATCATCATAAATAATTGATCTTTTAATTTTTCACATTTTCATTAATATTCTAAAGAATTTTTTAACTATAAGGTCTAATTTAATCTTCAAAAAGATTCTTCAATTCTAATATTTAAATATATATGTATACCAATATTATGTTATTCACATTACTATGTCTTACCCATTTTCTAATGAACAATTTCTAGAAAATAATTAAGTTATCCTCTTAAAAATTTATAAAAATCTATGAAGATTATATTTTCTTGTTTTTCATCTTAATTATGATTTAAAAAATCATTTAATATAGTAAAACTATATTACAAGACACAATTTATTTATTTTTTATAATTTTCTTTAAAATCAACTCCATTCAGGTGTTATAGTTACTTTTTAGCCTTATGGATGAAAATACTTACCTAGCTCAAGCACTCTTAATAATCCCACTAAAACTCATCATCATCATTGCAATTTAATAAACTAATTATTTCAGTTTCTGTAAGTTTAATTTTTGATGCTTAAGAATACTTAATCTCAGAATCAAATAATTTACAAAGTGTTTCTCCAGTATCTTACTTAGAAGTAATAATAAATGACTTTATCTAGAATTTCTCAAAATATTTGGCAATATCATTTTTGAAGTTTGGTTCATACTTTTCATCACATTCATCAAAAAAAGTAATCACTATAGTAATTTTATCTTTATATCTTTAAAACATTTCTATTATCCCTGTTGTGCAAGAATAAACTCTATAATAATTACTATCATATCTAGCAACTATCATTATTCTAGAGATCTCAATATTTTCAAATATCTTTAAATGTCCTGAAATTGTATCAATATTATTCGAATCTCCAAATCCTAGTGTATCAATTAATGTAAATCCTTCTCCATATTATGAATTTTTAACATAGGTATCACGGGTTGCAATACTTCCTCCAAGCCATGTTTTAAATTAGGAATTAGTGATTTTATTAAACAGAGTTGTTCTACCAGTTCCAATTTAACCTGTTAATAATACTGCTTTTTTCATTTTAATTTAATTAGAGTTCCTCATAAAGGGTCATTCTTAAATAACCAAATTTCTATTAATTATTCTATTAGAGTATTTTTAATATAAATTTATAAATATATAATTAATATTTCAATATAAATATAATTTTATAAAGAAAAGAATATAACTTAATAAATATAATAATAAAATTAGAACCACTCACTATTAAAAATATAAAAATATACTTATATTAAATAAATTGTTTTATAAAATATGAAAGGTTTACGTAACCTCCTTAATAAGGACTACGAAGATTTCCTTTAACAAAAACATGACTTAAATAATCAAAACAAATTTATAACTAAAAGAACTGTAGCAACTAGAGAATCAGGAAGACCTATTGGATCTCGAATTTAATAAAGACTTTAAAAACCTGAATCAGCTAGTTAAAGTATGGGAAATCTATTTGCAAATGTGAAAGGCAATTTATTCACAAATCCAAAACATTCCCTTTAATAGGAGGCTAGTCCATATTTAACTGAATAATAAGAAAAGTTTATAGTTAAGTAATATTGGAGATCCTTACTTCGTTGGCAAGGATTTGATGATTATTTGTTTTTGAGAGATCCATTATATATAAAGCATATAAAAGGGAGAGATATTTTAACAAAGAATGATGTAGTTGAAGAATTGAATTCATAAAATATGCATATGTAAGTAATGTATTAGGCAGACAGTGGAATGCAAGAGTATAAAGATTAACATAGAAAATTACAAATGCAATAATTATAAAAATTATATTAACCAGGAGAAGCTAATTATTAGAAATTTAATCCAGACAAATATAAATAAACATTTTTTGGTGGTAGAGATGAAACTAAATTATAATAGATAGTGTTTGAGAATCCAAAATTTGTAGAATTTATAGAGAAGATATAAAAACTATTATAGATTATGAATGAGAAAATGGTTGTTGAGGAAGTGAATTAAATTTCACCTATTGGAGAGAGAATGATTAGATTATTATGGAAAATAGGATGTTTAAATATGTTTTTAGTTGGTTATTATATTCATAATATGATATTGGAGATATATGGTAAAGAGAAATTGGCATATTCAAATTGGAAAAAGGTATTGAGAATATGTAATATGCAAGGAAATCATTGTCATAAATATAAATTAATAGCTTATAAACATATATCTAAGATTTGTATAAAACTTTAATAATATGATAAAAGTTTAATTTATCTTAAGAAAATGCTAAAATTATCATGGATAGTTAATGATACTAATTATGAAATATTTACATATGATAAAATATCATTATGTTATTATTACAAATAAGATATGAATAAAGCTATTTATTATCATGAGAAATTTGCATAAGGAGAATATGAAGAACCAGGTAAAGGTATGAGAAATGTTGGTGAAGCAGCATATTTATTAGATGCTAAAACAAAAGAAGGATTTATAGATCAAAATTCTTATTCTGAAGATGAATATGATTTAGATGTATTGTTATAGAATGGAAATCTTAATAAATGGGAAACTGAAAATAAGAGGAAAGATCTTAAAATATTAGTTAAAAAAATACCTATGGAATATAAAAAAGGACATAGTTTTGGTAAAATTCATAGACCAACTAATAAGGTTATAGATTTTAAACATGCTATGTTAATACTACATCAATTTTAAAATAAATAATCTATTCCTTTGGGACCTATTTATTAAAAAGAAGTATAAGATTAATAAGATTAAACTTTTAAGAAGTTTAAAAAGAAAGATTAAACTCAATCATGTCAATATTTATTTAATTAAAAAAGTACAAATAGAGTTGCATCCAATTTTTTATTATAAGAAGAAATTAAGGAATAAACTACTAGTGATACTTTGTGTTTTAAACCATCTGAAAATGTTTATTATATCAAAAAAATGATCAGGGTATTTTAATATGATCTAAAGTATTTATTATTGAAATAATCTCTTTTTAAAAACTCGACTGATTGTATATGATAATATATATTTAATAATTTATTAATGCATTAACATATTACACTTAATTGTTAAAATACTAAAAAGGGATATCTAGTATCGAGAACAGGAAACAAACCTGGAAGTAGATTTAATGATAGATAATCATTTGCATAATATGTAAATTAATTGTCAGAAACATAACAATAATTCAATCAAATTAAATAAACTCCAAGAAAAGATTCATAATTTAATAGTCATCCTAATCTTCCTAAATTACATTCTCCAGATATTATGAGTAGACGTTTTGTTTTGAATGTAGCCAAATGTCCAATCAATCATTATTAATCTCCCATTTTTAGACCAAATGGAATTACATAATAATAATAGTTTTTTCATCCTGTATAATCACCTAGACATTATTCTCTTGAAATAAGAAAATCATTAATTCCATAAACTAAATTAACACCTATCTAAAAGAATTCAATTATTAATCTTAGTGGAAGAAGTGTTAGAGATGAAGATATGAGTTTATTTTATTATAAAATTGGTGGAGATGAGGTTGTTGATTAATTAAATGAAGAGTTTTATCATTTTTCAAGTTAACATGACATGATTAAAAGTATTATATTAAATTTTATTGTTTTTTTTAAGATATTGAAGATCATGAATAATATAAAGCTCATTTTAAGATATTTTTAGAATATATTATGGGAAAACCAGTATTTTATAATCTTGAATAACTTAAAGATAAACATAAAAATTTAGGACTTAAAAATAATGATTTCAATCAATTTAAAAATTATCTTATTGTATATTTTTGTCACTTATCTATTAGACATGCTTTTTAAAAGTTAATAAAACTTAACCAGAGCATGTCTTTGAATTTAGTTCTATGATTGAATAATATAGATACTGTATAATTAATAGTGATACTCCATTTGCTATTATATATAACCAAAAAACTGAAAAATTAAGTACAAAAGAAGTTCCAGATACAATTCTGTGTATGGCTGAAAGTAGTTATCAAAAGATCTTTGCAGATAATACTTTGGCTCATTACTTTATAGGAATTTCACTTTAAGAATAAGCTAAAAAATTAGGTAGAATTTTACATTAAATGATGGGTTGGGATTAGACTTCTGATTAAGTATTAGTTGATATGAGATAATCTCATAAAAGTATGCATTTAAATAATGTACATTTTACATTATTTAAATAACATATGATTGAATCTATGAGATAATTACATATTTAAGAGAAATAAATAGAACTTGTTACTTCTAGAATGGATGGGTATAGAAGTTACATCATTAATTAAGATTCTTTACTTGACTTTTACAGAGATTAACCTACATTATTTTAAGTCTAATAAAAAAAGTATGTTTAGTTACTTAGAAGAGATCATAGAATGTAACAATTTCCTTAAGAAGCATTTAATAGACATGCATAATTCATTCTTAGATATCTCACACATTAACATTTACCTACTCTTACTAATAATGATCTATGGACTATTCATTCTAAATATAATATATCTATTGAATGGATTGAATCTTTTAAAGATAATTTCTTTCTCTTAATTTAAAATCTCAACTTAAATCCTCTTGTTGTTTAAGATTATGAGGATATATGGTTTAAATTAAAAAGTAATCTTACTCAATAATATTCAATACAAAAGTATATTGGCAAATAAAAAGTTGAGTCAATACTTACTAAAGTTTAATTTAAAATGCAAGATAATGAAAATTATAATGAATATTTTAAAAATGGCAATTACTAAATGAGTTAACATCTCTAAAGGATTATGACATTCATATTTAAAGATTAACATTTACATAAATCAAATGATTTAAAGGTTATTCATTAATCACTTAAAATCAAAGAATCTACATTTGATTTATTTGTTTTATTTTTAAAAAATGCTATGAAAGAAGAATAAATCAATCATCATTTAATAAAATAAGCTTAAGAAACTTGTGAATTTTATAAGAAAAGCATATGTAATTGATTACTCAAAATTTTAACGAAATAAATTTTTCTTAAATAATTTTAATTGTTTATTTTCTTAAAATTTTGAATATATAGTTGTTTTACGTCATCATTAAAAATTAAATTAAATATATATTATACAATTAATAAGAATTATTATTATCAGAGTCTCAATAGAACCATTCTTTACCATAAATCCTTTCTACCCAATCAGTAAATGATATAGGGTCTTTTGAAGACATTATTTTTGATTCCTCCTTTGTCAATTCTTGATCTATTTATATTGTTGGTACTCTTGAAACTCTATTCACTATTATTCGATATCCCTAATCATGTGATTTCTTAACACCTGGTATTGATGGACCAGGTTCTTAACTTGATGATTAATAATTTCTTCTACTATTTTTGCAAGAAACAAAAAGCTTTCTATTTGGTAGCACAACTACTGGGCTTTTGAACTTTTTATTAGTTTCCACTCTAAAAACCTATTCTAGACTATCCATTGAATTCCTTGCGTTAAAGTAGTTATTGCTCTTTTGAAAGTTTATTTACTCTTTTATTGGATATTTTAATGAATTCTTTCTTCTAACATAGTCAATCTCCTCCCTCTATGATTATTTGTTCATTATTATTCTATGAAGTTATCCAGATATTAGGTTTCTATTTGATTACACAGATTTATTAAACATTGAAATATTTTAAATTAATATATTAAAATAAAATTATTACCTAAATCTTAATTTAAATGAAAGCTTATTAATAATAAATTATATGTTGAACTACTTATTAAATATTAATTAAAATCTATATATATATATTGATATTATTATATATATTATAATCTTATTTTAAATACACATCAACACTGAATCAAGTTTTTTAAAAACAAAGTAGTTCTTTTGACAAAAGATAGTTATTTCAAATAGAAATTCAATTTATCAAATAATTGTAAGCTAAATTTATTTTTAAATTAGTATAATTAAATTTACTTATAGATTAAATTGCAGATTATAAGTTCTAGACATTACCTAAAATTTATGATGAATAAACTTTTTATTTATATTAATTAATTTGAA